GTCAGGGTGCTGTGTGGAATTTCGGGGCAGAAGCTCGGACTTCAAGGCCGCGCATGTTACGACGCTGTGATCAGAGACTTGCGCAGTTCTAAATACACTTATTTTGAGAAGGGATGCATCCGTGCCAATGCCTGCGGGGCCTGCTGGACCCAGGAGAAAGCTGTTTCCCTCGGATATCAAATCCCTGAGGTCCGCTGTTCTCTGCGTGGTGGCCCTTCAGACTCCATGCGGCGCAGGTTGTGGGTGTGTCCTGCGGTTGACGACCTCAGGAAGGAGCTTTGTGATCCCGAAGTGTTGCTGGCCAGTTCCGATGTGGACCTCGCCACCGTCTCGAACCACCAGCTCGTGCTGTTCGCAAGAGGGATCTTCACCCACCCCAGCGAGCACCTCCCGATGCCCTCCAAGGAATGCCCCCCAATGGTCCACTGGGAAGCTCCTCAGCATGACGAGTTTGATGAGCAGCTCTTCTCTGGGGACATCTTTTTCGACGGATCTTGCAGGAAACATGTAATTAAGGAATTGTGCAGGGCAGGTTGGGGCTTAGCTGTCTACGATAATCACAGGAATTTACAGCGTGCTATGCGGGCCCCTCTTTGGGACAGGTTCCCCCAGACCTCCCAAGCTGCGGAATACAGCAGCCTGGCCTACGAGTCGCTGTGTCTCTTGGGGCCCTCGGAAGGTTTCAGTGACTGCCTCAATGTTTACAAAGCTTTTAGCATGGAGAGACCCAAGTGCCTCTCCTACAAGAGGCCTTGTTCAGGGCTTATGACTAATACGCTTCAATCCAATTTAACCAGCCTTCACAAGGTGAAGGCGCATGTAGTGGATTCCCCAGATTTAACGGCCGACCAGAGGCATTTCAAATTAGGAAACGACGAGGCCGACAGAGCGGCCAAGCGAGGTGCGGACATGCACCCCAAGGGCTCCAGTGCTGAACTTGATTTTGTAGACTGGCAACTTAAAGTTGCCAAGAATGTCGGCCTGCTGGCGGCCCGCCTTCTGCCGTCGTGGCCAAGGCTCAACCTCGACGGTGCGCAGCTCATCGCCCCTGGCCGCGAGGTGGCGCCGCCGCCCCTCCCCTCGGAGCAGTGCCATCATGAGAGGGTGTGGTGTGCCACCTTCTGGCGATGCAGCACGTGTCTCCGATGCCGCCGCCAGTTTGATAGACCGTGTTCCTCGGGGTGTTCGGGCCAGCTCCCTGAGGTGGCCCTTTCCATACGCGAGAAGGGCCACTCGATCGCGGCCCTCCTGTGTTCCAATCAAAGCATGTTGTATGTTTGTCATCTCTGCTGCGGGCACAGCTGTGGCGGTCAATTCAGGAAGCTTCGCAAGATGTGCGTTCCCGAGCCCGAAGGGACCAGGAAGTCTAAGTATGCGTCCTCGGTCTTGAGGGCTCTCAAGAAGGGGGGGCACCCCAGGCTGGTCGGAGTTACTTGTGAAGTGTTCGACCCTGCTGCCGAAGCGTGCGAGTCTGATCCTGGGGATCGGGCAGTGCCCGACATGAGGGCTCACGCCCGCAGGTCGCTTCGGGAGGAGGGCGAGCACGCTCCTGACCAATAGTTATTTTTTCAGACAGCTCGGACTGACCCCGTGCTTTGCGGGTGAACGCGTCCGAGCATTCTTTCAGTCAGCCCGAGCTGACTCGGGTTTAGGGCGCCTGTCAAAAAAAAAAAGAATTACCGCTCCGGAGGCTGCAGCGCCGCGGATCAACGTGACTGCTGCGTCCCGACAGTCCTAAATCTCGCAAGACTATCATCCTCGGGTTTTCAAAAACTCGAATCAAGATGACTGCTGCGTACTCACAATCCAGATTCGCGCCAGAACGTCATCCCAGGGACTTCAAACATACATATTCTTAAGAGTGTCGCACAAGTTTCGAGATGAGTGCGCGCGGTGAAAAGGCGAGAGCAACACTCTGGAAAACGGCTCGCCCCCCATTCGTGAAGCTGTTGTGAGTGTTTTGAAACAAATGCACGCGGTGTTGAAGCGAGGGTCGTATGTTGAGAAGGGCGCGGCGCCTGGGCGAGAGCAACATTTTGAAAACGCCCCGTCCTCCACCCGTGACACCGTGGCAGACTTGACGACGGGTGCGCGTGGCGCGGAGGCGAGAGCCACGTTTTGAACACGGTCCGCCCCCCGTCATATGTTGAGAAGGGCGCGCCGCCAGGGCGAGAGCAGCACCATTTTGGAAACGCCCCGCCCTCCGCCCGAGACACCGCTGCAGGCTTGCAGACGCGTGCGCGTGGCGCCGCGGCGAGAGCCGCGTTTGGAACGCGGTCCGCCCCCCCGTCCTTGCAGGCGCTGCAGACTTTTGAAGACGAGTGTGCGCGGCGTTCGGGTGAGAGCCACGTGTTGCAAAGGATCATATATACCAAGAGTTGTTACTATATTACCTAACAGCGAAGACTGATAGGTTTCTAGTGGACTCAAAAGAGCTCACAGATCACTCCACAGGGGGGTCCGGGCAGGTGTTGGGAGTTGCCGGGCGGCAGGTGCCGGGTTCGTTTTTCGCCAACAGTCACAAACTTCGTGCTCTTCGAGTTCCCAGAACTCCATTCCCGGGCCACATTCTGGAGGGCCGGATGCAACAGTCACACACTTCGTGCTCTTCGAGTTCCCAGCACTCCATTCCCGGGCCACATTCTGGAGGGCCGGATGCAACAGTCACACACTTCGTGCTCTTCGAGTTCCCAGAACTCCATTCCCGGGCCACATTCTGGATGCCCGGAGCCAACTGTAGGCCACTTCGTGGTCTTCGAGTTCCCAGAACTCCATTCCCGGGCCACATTTTGAATGCCCGGAGCCAACTGTAGGCCACTTCGTGGTCTTCGAGTTCCCAGAACTCCATTCCTGGGCATGATTTTGAATGCCCGGAGCCAACTGTAGGCCACTTCGTGTTCTTCGAGTTCCCAGTTCCATTCCCGGGCCACATTTTGAATGCTGAGGCAGGCTGATGCTGAGGCTGAGGCAGGCTGAGGCTGAGGCAGGCTGAGGCTGAGGCCGAGGCTGAAGGCAGACTGAGGCTGAGGCTGAAGCAGGCTGAGGCTGAGGCTGAGGCAGGCTGAGGCTGAGGCTGAGGCAGGCTGATGCTGAGGCAGGCTGAGGCTGAGGCTGAGGCTGATGCAGGCTGAGGCTGAGGCAGGCTGAGGCTGAGGCCGAGGCTGAAGGCAGACTGAGGCTGAGGCTGAAGCAGGCTGAGGCTGAGGCTGAGGCAGGCTGAGGCTGAGGCAGGCTGAGGCTGAGGCTGAGGCAGGCTGAGGCTGAGGCTGTGACTGTGACTGCCGTTGCCACTGCGACTGTCATCGCGAATGCGACTACGACTGCGAGAACAGCAGAATTCTACAACTGGATTCTCATCTGAATCTTAAGGGGAATGCTTCCAGATATGCTCCTACACATCGCTGTTAGGTTGCTTTGCCGGGATAATATATATATATATATATATATATACAGCACTGCTGCAATATTTGTTATTTAATCGCTTCGCTCATTCCGCCGGCCCATACAGTCTCATGTCTGCCGTTTGCCCGAGGGCCTGGTGTCAATGCGGCGCTTTGGGGGTTCCTGGGGCCGCTTGGGTGACTCCTGGGGCGCTCGGGGGGGCATTTGGGGGGCCTCCTGGGGCCGCTTGGGGGACTCTTGGGGGCCTCCTGAGGGCCTCGTGGGAGCCTCTTGGGGTCTCTTAGGGGCCTCGTAGGGGCTTCTTAGGGCCGAGGGCTCGAAATGTTGTTTCGTGTTCCCTCTCTGGGGCCCCTTTCGGGGCGTTCTTGGAGCCCTCTTGGACCGTCTTGGAGGCTTCTTGGGCCGTCTTCTTGGGCCGTCTGCGAGCCCTCTTGGGCCATCTTGGAGCCCTCTTGGGGCCCTCTTGGGGGCCTCTTGGGGCGATCTTGGGGGCCTCTTGGGCCGTCTTGGGGCGTCGGGAAGCCGAAAAGGTGGAAGCTCCAAAATCTCTCAAAAACCTAAGGAAAAACAATGAATTTTGCCTCCGGGGGCCCTCTTGGGAGTGCTCTTGGAGGCCTCTTGGGGCGTCTGGGGGCTATCTTGGGCGTCTTGGAGCGATCTTGTGGCATGTCGGACCCCTCGTGCACCATCTTGGGGGCCTCTTGGGGGCCTCTTGGCCTTTCTTGGGGCTCTCGGGGACGTCTCGGAGCCCTGTTGGTGCGCTCATGGAGCGCTCTGGTGGCTTCGCCCGGGGATCAGCCGGGAGTCGCCCGGGGTACTTTTCGTCCGGGGACCCCCAGGGGCCGCCCCGCGCGCGCGAACCAGAGAATTGTTAACCAGTTACCGGAGATCTTAGCACGCCTCTGGCCCGTTGGGCCGGCGAATTATACACATAACAAAGAGCACGAATGCGCGCGTTGACAAGGCGACACCCACATGTTCAAAACCACCCGCCCTCCATCCGTGGAGCTGTTGCGACATGTTTCATCGCATGCGCGCGGCGTTCAGGCGAGAGCCGCGTTGCGAGAACGGCTCCATCCATGAAGCCGCTGCAACCTCCCAGCTTCAGGATCGTACATGGTGAGGGCGTCTCGGGCGAAGCGCCCAGCCCGCCCTTCTGACACGTCCTGGGGTGCGACAGGGAGGAGTGACTCAGAAGGAAAAGGGATGGATGGATGGATGGAGGAGGAGGGGGATGAGGAGCAGGCGGAGGGAGGAGGCCGAGGAGGAAGAGGAGGAGGAGGAGGAGGAGGAGGAGAAGGAGGAGGAGGGGAGGAGGAGGAGGTGGAGGGAGGAGGCCGAGGAGGAGGGCCAGTGGAGACGGCGCCCCACGCGCCGGACCCCACTCCGCTCAGAATCGGTCCTCCGACTCCCCCCTCCGTCCTGACCCGTCCTTCGGGGTGGGCCCAGCCGCGGCGGCGAGACGAAAGCTCACCGAGAGGCCCAGGGAGGGCGCAAAGCGACGGGGAGAGCCGCCGCTGCGCCTCGACGGGCCCTCCTGCGCCAGCGCGAGGCCGAGGGCCGAGGCCGCCCAGCGCGCGCGCGCCCACGCGCGCCAG